AAGTTCCGTTCTGTGAGGCGATCGATGGATGGGTCTTTGCGGAGGAAGGAGGCTATGGCTTCCATAATGAAGAGAAATATGGGCGGAGCCAATGGGTCGCCTTGTCTGACTGATCGCGAGATTGGGTAGGTGTCGGATAGGATTCTGTTGACCTGGACTCACCTGTTGCATCAGCGTATAGCAACCCAATTCCTAAAGTTCGGGCCTACCCCCATTTTCTCCATGCATGAGTGGAGGAAATCCCAATTAACCTTGTCATAGGCTTTCTCAAAATCGAAGAACAGGATTGCAACTTTCATTCGTTTTTCTGTGATCTTTTTTGCTGCCTCGTTCAGGGTCATAACGTTATCCAAAATGTACCTGCCTGGGATAAAGCCTGCTTGGTCGATGTGAAAGCAACTGTTTGTTAACTTCGCGATTCTGTTTGCAAGTGCCTTAGCTAGGATTTTGTATGGCGTGGTCAATAGAGATATGGGTCTGTAATTTTTCAAGTCTTCTTTGTGTCCTTTCCTATACAGTAGTGAGACCACGCTRGTGCTGATTTCTTTTCCTAGGCCTCCTCTGCGCATGCTTTCGTTGAAGAAGTCGAGCAGATCTTCTCCCAGGATCGGCCAGAAGCAGCTCCAGAATTCTTTGGATAGTCTGTCGATACCCGGGGCTTTGTCATTTCCCATCTGAGTCAAGGCTGTGTGTAGTTCGGCCAGGGTCAGGGGCTTGTCAAGGCCTTTCGCCTGATCGGTCGAGATGGTTCTGTCGAGGTACGAGAGCATGAGTTTGCGAGCCGTTGTGTTCGTTGTGCACGGGGGTGACGGTGTCTTGGACTCGTTTAAGTCTGCGTAGAATGATCTGGCTATCCTTACCATCTTCGGGCCTGATGTTTTAGTGTACCCTGAATCTGTTGGGTCTTGGAGAACCTCTATCATGTTGTTCCTTGCGTTCGCTTTGATTTTGGAGCAGAAGAATTTTGTCATTGATTCATTGAGTGTGTAATCTGTCATCCTAGCGTGGATCTGCAAACCTCTCAACTCCCATCTTCTCCACTCRTTCAATTCGTCTTTGGTGTCGTCTAGTAGCTCTTGGTAGAACCCACTGGAGGGATCTTCTGCCAGGTTTGCTTCCGCATCAGCTATTGCAAGTTGGAGTTCTTCTCTTCTCCTCTTGCGGTCTCTGGCGGTATCTCGGGATTCCGCTGATACTGTCTGTGTTAATTGTGCATARCTGTCGATGAACCATTGGTGGCTGTTCGTTTTTTTGGACTCTCTCTATTTGTTGAGGGCCCAGTTTTCTCTGACTGTCACGGGCATTCTTTCGGTTTTTAGGAGGGAGTTACTCAGCCTAAAGAAACCCTGGCCTGTATCCACTGGTACATTGAAGTTGAGCAGCAATTGGATGGGTTTGTGGTCTAGCCCTTTGAAAGCTGCCGAGGGGAGGATTTCGGCCTCTTTGACTGTGCCAAGTAGGCTCTCGGAGATGAGGAAGTAATCTATCCTCGACAGAGATGTCCGGTTAGCTTGGTTTTTCCTTATCCAGGAGAACACTTTTTTTTCTGGGTGCAGCGATCTGAGAGGGTCGATGAGTTCGAACTCTGTCATCAGATTTCGAATCTGGGTACCTGCTCTTGTGGGTCCCATTAGTGCTGCTCTAGAGATCCGGTCCCTGTTTGGGTCCAGGGTCGTGTTCCAGTCCCCTGCGATGATAATGGGCTGTGGGTTGGGGATGAGAGTCTTGATGTTCTCGAGGAAAGTCAGTCTGTCGGATTCTGTGTTGGGTGCGTATAGGTTGAGAATTCGCATCTCTTCCTCTTGCCATTTAATGTCTACCCAGGACCATCTTCCTCCCTCACTGTCGCCCTCGCTGTTCAGGATCTGTCCCTCGATTAGAATTTTGGATATTTTCGGGATGAGTATCGCCGTCCCTTTGTTACTATGCCCTTCTTTGTTGGACCATAGTGCGAAAGCACATCCACCTATTGTTCTTTCCATTCTTTGTTGTATCTCCGAGTGATTGTTCAGATCAGACAGATGGGTCTCTTGGAGAAGTATGATGTCGGGTTTGGGGAGATCCTTACTCACCAGGCCTATTCGGATGTCTCTGAGTTTGTCTTCCTCAGTTAGTATATTTCCCAAATCGTTGAAGTTCCAACTAACTATCTGGAGGCCCTTAGCATGCCAGTTTATCCTAGGTGGGTTTTCCTGCCCGTTTCTGCCTCTTGCGAGATTCTGCATTGGTATCTGTTTTTTTTTTTTTTTTTCCCCTCTTCTTTTCCTCCTTTTCTCCTGCTGGTTACTTACTTTTCTCAGTTGTTGTTTGTTCGTTTGGTCTTTGAGGTGATGTTTTACTATCTATTGGAGTGCTTTTTCAATCTGCTGCAGGCTGGATCTTGCTGCTCTCGGAATCCGAGTCTCTGTTGTCCTCCTTCGATGCAGTGGTTCCCATGCTGTATTCCCCCGCGCTGCTCTCTGTTGTCGGGTGCGGCACCTCGTCCTCTCCCCCTGGGGAGAGATCGTCACCCAAACCAAAGTCCTCTTCTTCTTCGTTTTCCATGTCCACTTCATCRTTCCCCATCTCCACGTAGATGGGGGTCGCCTCGTCTTGCAGCRAAGTCCTGGATGTCAAGAGGTGAGTTCTGATGATATCTGCCAGCGAGTCGGCGATGATGTCAGTCGTGCTGAATCTTCCGTTCATCACATTGTGTGGGAGCATTGTGATCGTGTCCCATGCCCTCCATGTCAAGCCCTCGCTGAGTTTTGCTTTTTCATCGAGCTTGACCAGAACGGGGTCGAAGGGGGTCAGAACTGGCTCATCCAGCGTCTTCCCTTCGATTGTCGCTTCCCGTGGAGGGAGTCCGTACACCCCCAGCGGGGTATCTGCCGAGATGTTCTCCCTGATGTTCTTCGCCAGGGCTCTGTCATCGTCGAGGGTGGGGATTGCGAAGGCTGCGTCTGTGGCCACCTGCCACTCGATGAATTTGCTTCTGAACCGGACTGGGATTAGAGGTCTCACTGCCCTGATTGTCGCCCTGTCCGCTGTTGCTGATTTGGTGACGCTGAATTTGCTTCTTTTCGTAATATCTGAACGCACTGAACTCCGAGAGTTCATATTTCATGCGTAGCAGGTCGAATTGGTTCTTGGAGTGGGGGATACCTGCCACTGTTTTACCCGTGGCCGGCTTCCCCGTCTTCTCCAGGTGTTTCATGCACGCCAATCTGATGTCGAATTCCTTCTCCCTTTCGTACTTTGCTTTCTGCGGGGACTCCTCGAGCCACGGAATGGGGCTTGATTTGTCTGGGGAGATGTCCGTTCCTGTCTGTTAGGCTGCTGGAGATCCCGGGTTTGCCCCGGGTAGAGTGTCATCTATGGGGGGTTGGTCGGGTTTGTGCATTCTGCCCGACTCCTCCTCAGTTGCCCTCCTCTTCTTTCCTGCTCTGTCTTCTTGATTTCCTTTGGAGGAGGGGGAGGCATTCCGTTTGAGAACGGGGGGGATCTCAGCTTTGGGGTGGCGGTGTTCGAGAGTCTTTTTGGCTGCTTGTATCAACGTGTTGCTGTCCAGGTTGGTGTTTTGGCATACTTCTGCTGTCTAGATCCGGATCGTCTCCATGTCCCACAACAGATCCTCATGTTTTTTCTCTTCCCTGATTGCTCGTGGGTCGATGATCTGGTCTTTGTGGATCTTCCCTGGTATCCCTGTTACCTTCTTTGCTCCCACTGCGTGCCATCTGCTGTCTGATGGGGGGAAGATATCTGGCTGTTTTGTTGTCGTTTCCGTGTTGCAAGTCCAGATCCATTTTGGATCTTCGATAGTGTCGTCGAAGACCCAGCCATTGTAGTCCTGGTCATTGACGAACCAGATACCTTTGGCTTCTTCTACTTCCACCWGCATGTTCTGTCTCAGTTTCTTCTCTTTCGATTGTTCARGGGATCTCGGACAGGCTGGGTCAGTGCCCAKGTGTCCTCTTTCTCTGCATCTGAAACAGATCGGGGCGTCTTTGGTTGAAACTGTGACTGATGATGTTTCCTCCCCGATGCAGAATTCCCATTCTTCCGGGAATTCTGGGTTCGTTTCGGAATTCACTTCCAAAACTGCTGTGATGGAGTCACAATGAGGGGCGAGGAAGTCTGGTGTGGGGAGCACCCATTTCAACACTTTGTTGTTTGGGTACTCAACCTCCAGATGGTCCTTAATCAGTGGATGGCCCCTTATGGGGATGTTGTCGAACTGGACCCATAATTGGTCTCTCATGAGTCTCTGCTTCTGTGCTGTTGCCGGGGAGATGGTGGCTTTCTGAGCCGTCTCCTGTTTCCATCTGGATAGGGAGCATACTGACCCATTGCAGTTCAAGGTGGTGTGCCTACTGATCAGATTTGATGCCTGGTCAACATCTTTGAAAATTACCATCATCATGTTTCTGCTGAGTAYCAGGATCGAGAATTTGTCCGTGCTGGATCTGAGGTTTTCGTGACCCTGTATTGTTCTTGTGATCCATTTTCGTATCTCGATCTCTGGAAGGCGAGCGCCTGTGTTGGAGAAGGTAAAGACTAAACCGTGTTTTGAATACATGGCATTGGTTGTTTCGATTTTTTCTTTTGGGTAACACCAAACCGTGATTTCTTTTTCTTCCCCATCCTGTTGAACTTTCTTAATTACTTTTTCTCCTTTGTTTTGAGGTTGTTCCAGCAGGAAACGCAGGGTCTCATGGTCGACTAGCGGGCCATTCGATTGGTTGTTCTTATTTGTGTTTTTGGAGTTGGCCGCTAAGATCGAGGAGAAGCGGCGTTGGAATGTTACCGGTGCTGATGTCGCCATCCTGTACTGCGGCTGTAGTGGTGAATGGAACTCTGGGTAGTGACGAGGGGGGGGGGGGGGGGGGGGGGGGGGGGGGGGGGG